TGGCGGGGCCCTGGGCCACACGGGTCGTTTCTTGGGGCCGCGGGGGGAGTGGCCGAGAGCGAGGAGAGAGCCGACGCCGGCAGCAGCCTCCAGAGGCCCAAGCAAGGGATCAACTATATACATATGTGTGCACAAAATAAAACTAACAAACAAACAAACAAACAAACAAACACACTAGCAAACATACATCGATTCATTCATTCATTCATACATACATACATGCAAGCATACAGCAGAACAACGCCCTGCCCGCGATATCTTGCTGAGGATCCATGCGCTCACGGCCCTGGGGGTTATTCCATAATGACGCGCTCGGGCTGCCAGAGCGATGCGAGGCGATGCCCGCAGTGAGCGCGCAGAGGCAGCACATGCCAGGAGTGATCACGAAGGCAGTAGATGCCGGTACGGGACGACGCCAATGGCACTCTTTGACATGTCCTTGGGTGGTATGCTGTATTTGCACGACATGTTTCATTGTGCATCGCCGATAAGGCGCGAACCTCCGACCCCCCTTTGCCGCTCGGGGAACAAAAGCAGGCAGTACGACTGTCAAATTGGTCGGACGACCCATGTGAACGTTTTTTATCGGCGTTTCGACATTAGGCGGAAGGCAGGGGAGGGGGGGGTCTGGCTCTGGACCTCTTCTTAGTGCGACTGTTTGCAACCGTGCGTCCTATGTGGGGGGTACTCCACATGCTCGAAACCCACGCCCAAAACAGCCCAGATCTACTCCATAGGGGGTGGGGAAGGGGGGGTGCGAGGACCCGCGCCGATCGGCCAAACAACGAATGAAAAACGATCACCATCAGCCTGTTGTTTGTGTGATCGCACAGTTTTTGAAAAGACGACGCGCACGTCATTGATACCCCCGCTCCCTCACGAACCATAAGGAGAACGAAGCATGGCATAAACATAAAAACTCGGAGGTCCGCGCGGATTTCTCGGATCGGCGCTGGACCCCACTCCGTGGCGCGCGGAGCGCGCCAGGGACGGCGCCGGAGGCGCTGCCGAGGCAGTCTAGCGCCGATCCGAGAAATCCGCGCGAGCCTCCGAGTCTTCATGTTTGTGTCATTCTGCGTTCCCCGAACCACGGCCCCGTCCCGAAGATCCGACGTTGCGAAACGCTCCCTCGAACCCTCTCCGAGGGGAGTCTGGAACCCGAACCCCCAGAACCCTACAGGATCCTGGGGGGGCCTCTGGGAACCCCTCTGGGGGACCGTCGCACCCACCAGGAACCCCCTCTGGTGGGCCCTGGAAAACTCCTCGAACCCTCCAGGAGGGACCCTGGAGCCCCCCCAAACCCTCCAGGAACTGCCGCGGGGAAACTGGAACCATCCCGAACCATCCAGGAACCCCCGGGGGGCCCTCAAACCCTCCAAGAAACCCCGGGGGAACCCTCGAAATCCTCCCCGAACTCCCCGGAGGACCCGGGGACCCTCCAGGACCTCCCAGGGGATCCCTCGAATTCCCCGAACACTCTGGATCTCGTTGGAATCTTCCACAGGTCTCCTATGCCAGCTGGAACCTGCCAGGCCCCGTCCCGACGACCTCTCCTGACAAATTCTTGCGGCAAGAGAAAGCTCAAACTACAAATTACGACAGGTTCGCGTCCTCTCGACCCCGGCGTCGGTTCCTGACACCGCGGGGATCGTTCAAACTTGAACGATCGGCCGTTCCATTGACGCCGGATCGTTCAACGACGCGCCGATCCTGGGCCACGGGCGGCGCTCGACCTTCGACGCACGCGCTGGGGTCGCCGCCGGTCGACACGACGCGAACCTGCCGTACGAACTTAGAGCTTAACGACCCAGTTCAGGACCCCCGCAGGAAGCCAACAGTTTCAAAACTCGTTCGAGAACCGATGACGTGTGCCTTCTCGCCTTGTCGCTTCCGAGGCGCGCTTGAGGCCCTAAGATGGCCCAAGATGGCCCAAGCGAGGCCCGAGCGGGGCCCACGAGGCACCCCCGACGGCCCTGATGAGCGCCCCGGAGCGGCCCAGGAGCGCCTCAGGAGGACCCCAAGGACATGTGATGGCCCCAGGGGGCGAATTGCATCGGCCTCCTTTGATGGACGCTCTATAGGATGGCACCAAGAAGCCTCACTGCGCTCCCAGGAGGACCCCAAGAGAGCCCGAAGAGGGCCCCGAGACGACCCCGAGAGCGCCCCAAGAGCGTCCCAACAGGGCTCCAAAAGGCGGTTTGTCTCCTCCTCCCCCCCTCCTCCTCCATCCCATTTCCATAATGACTTATCCCTGCCGCACCCCGAGGCGTGTCGGTAGGGCGGGCGAGGCGTTTCGCCTGAGACTTCTTCACCGTCGGAAAATGAAAAATTGCCAAAAGCTTCACGGATGGAGGACGGGCCGCTTTCAAGATGTGGCTCTCGCCTGAGCGCTGCGCACACTCGTCTGAAAACAAATTGCAAGAGCTTCCGCAATGAATGCGGTCCGCTTTCAACATGTGATGCTCGCCTGAGCGCCGCGCACATTCGCCGTAAAACAAAGTGTAAGAGCTTCACGGATGGAGGGCAGCCCGCTTTCAAAATGTGGTATTCGCCTAAGCGCCGCACACATTCGCTTTAGAAAATAATACAAGAGCTTCACGGATGGAGGGCGATCTGCTTTCAAAATGTGGCTCTCGCCTTGGCGCCGTGCACCTTCGTTTTAACAGTTTGAAAAAGTTTCACGGGTTGAGGGCGTGCCGCTGTCACAATGCAACTCTCGGCTTAGCGCCACGCCCATTCGTCTGAAAAGATTCAAGTTTTACAGAAGGCGATTTCTGTTCAAAGTGTGGCTCTCGCCTTAGCGCCGCAGACATTCGTTTCAGAACTTAACAAAGTTTCAAGGATTCTCACGGTTAACGTTCCAGAAATGGTGTTTGGGCACGATGTCGGACTGTCAGGGCACAACACGTATGCTGGTTCGCGGTAGAAATCCCAGGAATGATGTTCTGCCTCGAATCAGGATCATCAAGACGCAACTTAACAGTGATCCGCGGCGTTGAAATCCCAGGAATGGTGCTCTGATACAGTTCATAATTTTCAAACGGTTGTCTTCCAACGGGGCACTTCCCTCAATGTGAATCCTTGTAGGGGCCTATGAAGAGGGAACTTGGAGAGAGGATTGATTCCAATATCGCTCATGAGTCTTGGGTTTACTCTGGTTATCCTCATCCTCTTCTTCCTCCTCCTTCTTCTCCCCTCGCCCCCCCCGCAGGCCCAAGGAATGGCCCGAAGAGGCCCTCCAAGGCCACCCCCTTGCTCCCAGAGATCTCTTTGTTCATTCTGGTTGCCCGCTTTGTTTCACTATAAGTGTCCCTCCATCCCGTCCCCCGTCAGCTCTCATGGGCAACATTTCTGAACGGGCTGGTGGGAATACGCGAAGCGTGAAAGAATTGCAACGCCCAGGTCTCAGGGCTTCTACTGCCCCGAAACTCTGGCCCCAACTGGGAGGCCTGGGCTTATTTCTTTTGGTCGTTTGTCACTGTTGGTCAAGTGCAGTTACTCAGTGGCACGTTACAGAAGCCATCAGGGCGCCTTGCCGGCGTGCGTCCACGGACAGAAGGTGCCTTACCAGAGTGGGCATGCTCAGCCCGAGGGATTGGCACAGCATGTTTGAAAATTTCTGGCAAACAGAAAATATTTGGGGACGGCCGGATCGATCTGTGCTGGTCCCGGGGCCAGAAATCAGGCAAAAACACACGGTGTAAAAGAAGTGCAGCGCCCAGATCTCAGGGCCTCTCCCTTCAAACTCTGGCCCCAGTTAGGATTATTTCGGGCATGTCCCCCTACAGGCAGATGTTGGGCAAAATCGAAAAAAAACAAAGATGCTCCAAACATGTCCAAAAATAGTCGAAACATCGCCCCTAGACTATGTTTTGACTGTCTTTGAACAGTCCTCCTGTAGAGGGACAGGCCCGACTTAAGCCCAGATCTCAGGGCCTCTCCCTTAGAGCTCTGGCCCTATTTGGGAGATCTGGGCCCGTTCCTTCTCGGGAGCGGCCAAGAGGGGGGCGTCCAAGAGGGGGGGGGTGCAAATCATGACCGGCGGCATGTGCGCGGCCCAGCGGGGGGGCCAGGGACGTAATGAAACAAGAAGAGGCGCCAAGAAATCTGGGGAGATACCATGGCCCCCGCCATGATATCCACCCACCCCCTAGTCATCACCCCCCTCTTTGCCGCCCCCGACACTTGGGAGGTCTGGGCCCGTTCCTTCTCTTGTGGCTTCGTGGGCCCGGGACCGCTCTCCTCGCCGCGGTTGCCCAGGGCGGGGGCTCCGGCCAGCGCACGGCCAGAACTCGGTCTCCCGCCGACGCTGCCGCCGCCGCCGCCGCGGCCGCCGCCGCCGCCGCCGGCGTCGTCGACGGCATGACTCGACGAACAAACAACGGCTCGAAGCACAAACAACGGCATACAGTCAACCCGTAAGATTAAGGACGCACGATCAGGACGCAAGGGCCTTGGAAGGCCAAGACGACGCTTTGCGGGCGGGGCGCGGCCAGCGAAAGCGGCCAAGGATGGGCAGAGAGGGAAGGACGCAAGGGGAATCTTGGAAAGTTGCTCATCCTTACTGTGCGGGTTGACTGCAATTCCGAGAAATTGCGTTTATGCCTTTCTTTGTTCCTCGAATGTCGGGGAAACGTAAGACTCGGGTTCAGCGGACTCGCATTGGCATGACGGAATCGTCAAGAAAAGGACGAGACCCAGTTTGAAATTTGACGCAAGCTCCCGCTGCAAACATCCAACAAAAACTGGGCCGCCAAAATTCAAGACGGGCTCGTAAAGAAACGCTGGCAAACCCGAGTTCCAACGAACTTGAGCCTCAACCGAGTGCCCCTGATAATCAGTCATCACACCCTGCGGATAGCAAAGCTCGGGGCCCCGGAAGGATCGTAAAACCATTCCCCGGAGATCGTCAGCATAGGATGGGTGAAGGGGGGGGGGTCCTGTATTGTCCGGGGCATGGGGTTACGCTTCCCCTGTGATGACGGGCTCGGGGTGGAGTCCTCCACGGCCCTGCAGAGGCCGCGGTAGCTGGCGGCCGCGCCGCCAGAGGCCTCCGCGCGGCTGCACGCCCCCGCCCCGCCGGCCGAGCTGCCGGCCCGAAGGTCCAGGGGGCGGCTCCGGCGCGAGGCTCGCAGCTCGAGACGAGACGAGCCGAGCGGGCTTCAGGCCGGGCCGGGGTCCACGCAGACCGGGGCCTGCCAGGCCGACCGGAGAATCCTGCAGGGCCCCTGCAGGGCTCGTGCAGGATCCGGCACGCAGGCCCGGGTCAGTGCGCCCCGGGCTCTGCAGGATCCTGCACGAGCCAGCGCTCTGGCCGAACCCCCGTTTGCATGGGCCCTCGCAGCAGGGCCCCCGAGGCGAGGCGCTGCAGCGCGCGCCAGGGCGAGCCCGGGCCCCTGAGGTGTCGATGGGAACTGCGTTCCTCCGAATGTCGAGCGAAGCTGCCTCGCAGAGGGTCGGAGAAAGAGAGCTACGGCTCTGGCCATCGCTCGGACGTCCATGTCCTGTGTTCTTTTCGGTTTCGTGCGTGGCTTTTTCGCCAAATCATGAAGGATGCTCCTCGATGGTCCTCGACGAAGGAAAAATGCACACGTCCGAGCGATGCCAAGGGCTAGGCGGCAGCAGCTCTCCAGGCTCGAGCTCCGTGGGCTCGGAGCTGGGCTCGGGCGGAGGTGCGAGGCGGGGAGCGGCCAAGCACCGGCGTCTGGGGGTCGATCCCCCCTGGAGGTGGTAGTGGGTAGATCCCCGGCGGCGTGGTCTTGAGCTCGTGCTGTGTTACAAGACCGATGTTGCATCACAGCAGCAATTCGGCCCCTGACTTTCGTCCTGGGTTCGGTTTCGTGAAGTGATGAATTTCGGGGTCCTTACGTGGGAAAAAGCATCACTTCACTAATCTGGGGCCCCTGGGGCCTCAGTGGGCCCTGGGGCCCAAAATTAGTGAAGTGATGGTTTTCGGGCCTCGGATGTGTCCTCACGGCCGCTCGGCCCATGCCCATCCTTCAAAGGAAGGGTATGTTCGCCCGCGTGCAGTCCGTCGGGTTCTTCCAGGGCCGACGGCACTGGCTGCTCAGGCGGGCGGGGAAGAAGAGGTGCGCACAGCTGCATCTGCCAGCGACTCAGGGCGATATCTCATGATTGCGAAAAATGTTGGAGCCGCGATGCGTGCCATCCGTGATCTAGAACATATTCCCACCACGGGGATGCGCGCGGACGAGTGGGGCCGAGGGAACGAATTGAGAACAAGAAGCCGCCATTGAATCTGGATGATATCACGACTCCAGCTGTGATACCCACACACACACACACACACACACACACACACATGGTCTCACACCCCCATCGACCCTGGTGGCTTCTGGGTCGTAGCTCGGGTCTCCAGCGGCCGTCCGGGGCGATCCAGGCACCCTTGGGACGCTTCTGGCGAGGCGCAGCTGCTGGAGAGTACCACGAGGCGAGGAAACCTTCAAGAGCCAACTTCCTCCTCCTGCTGCTCCTCCTCCTCCTCCTCCTCCTCCTCCTCCTCCTCCTCATCCTCCTCCTCCTCCTCCTGCTCTTCCTGCTCCTCCTCTTCCTCCTCCTGCTGCTCATCCTCTTCCTCCTCCTCCTCCTCCTCCTCCTCCTCCTCTCCTCCTCCTCCTCCTCCTCCTCCTCCCCTCCTCCTCCTCCTCCCCTCCTCTCCTCCCTCCTCCTCCTCCTCCTCCTCCCTCCTCCTCCTCCTCCTCTCTCCTCCTCCCTCCTCCTCCTCCTCCTCCTCCTCCGCCTCCTCCTCCTCCCTCCTCCTCCTCCTCCTCCTCCTCCTCCTCCTCCGCCTCCTCCCTCTCTCCTCCTCCTCCTCCTCCTCCTCCCTCCTCCTCCTCCTCCTCCAACTCCTCCGCCTCCGCCTCCCGCCTCCGCCTCCGCCTCCGCCTCCGCCTCCGCCTCCGCCTCCGCCTCCGCCTCCGCCTCCGCCTCCGCCTCCGCCTCCTCCGCCTCCTCCTCCTCCTTCGCCTCCTCCTCCTCCTCCTCCTCCTCCTCCTCGAGCCGTTCTGGCGCAGGTGAGCGCTTGCTGGTCCTCTCTTCAGAACGGCAAGGGATCCGCGGGTCAAAGTTTGGCTTCTATCTTTTCACTTCCATCATTCCAGTCAGACTGATGTCCCATGGCCCTTACAAGGGCGGCGGCGGCGGCGGAGGAGGTTCTCCCCCTTGGCGCGGCGGCGGCTCAAAGGGCTGGCAGCGGCAGGACTGGAACAACTACGACTACGGAGGCGCCCAGTGGCTGGCTGGCAAAGGATACGGCGCGTCTGGCAGGAGCGACTGCTGGAAATGCGTTGCATGCGGGTGCGGCAAGACCACTGTCTGGGCGTCGCACTGCAAGCACTGCGGTGCTCCGAGGCAAGCCCCTTCGACCAGCCAGCCTGCTCCTCCTCGCGGCGTTTGGTCTCATCAGCAGGGTCTTCCTCGTGCTCCTGGGTATCACCCCCCAGGAGAGTGGGCTGCCCTCCCGCCTGGACCGCAGCTTGGAGGAGCGGCGCAGGGCACGGGCAGCAGCGGCCGTGGACAGGACGCCCCGCTGGACGCAAAGGAGCTACAGATGCTGGTCGCCCTGGCGCGCCGCGCAGGTGACCAGACGACCGCGGCCAGGTACCAAGGCCAGCTGGACTCCATGGCGGCAGCCGCGAAGCCCCCGCCCAAGGCCCTGCAGGACCAAGTCAGCGACCTGCACCACCGCATCAAAAAGCTCGACGGCAGGCTGGAGTCCGAGCTGGCGAAACTTGCGAGATGGCAGGACGGCATCAGGGCGCAAGAGGTGCTCATTCACGACCTCTCGAAGCAGTCCGAGGCCATGGTCACAGAACATCGGCAACTGGTTGCACAGCTTCACAATGCAGTTGTTCCTCCCTCGGCCGACGCTGAGGTCGCGCCTGGGCCCACTCTGTCACTCCGAGACCTCGTGGACGGGAGGGTCTCCAACATCGTCATCGACGACGGGGGCCTCTTCTCGGTCGACGCTGAGGGCATGGAGGCTTCGGATCTTCAAGAGGTGGAGCGACGTCGGGCCGACTTCAAGGAGCACATCGGCAAGGCAGCCAAGGCCCTATTCGCCGAAGCAATGGAGCGTGCGGCAGTCGCCAAGGCCGAGCACGACGGTTACCTCAAGCGCATGGCCACAAAGCGCAGGAAGGGCTGCGACGGAGTCGTGTCGGCTGGGGTTGGAGTTCGTGAAGGAGGCGCTGAAGAAGCTGGGTCGCATCCTGGCGGCGCCTCAGGCAGCGGCGGCGCCGCGGCCAGCGACGTCAGCCAGCCAGCCGCCTCAGTCAGTCGAGTTCGAGAACATGCAGCACGAGTTGCGGAGCGAGTTCAGCAGCAGCAGGCGACTTCTGAGGGCAGCGGCTCTAGCGAGCGGCCCAGTGAGCAGCAAAATCTTAGCCCCCCTGACGGTCCGCAGGCCTGAAGGGGGGGGATTCCACTTTTCTATGCCTGCAACACCTGACAGGTGTACCAGTTCAGTCTTTTCGGAGGGAGGTCGACAGCGCATGCAGGCTGTCAGGACCCCTCCTCCTCGTGCCCAACTTATTCCTGTTTTGCCTCGAAATACTAGCCCCAACGCGCGAGCTAGGAACGCTGCCTCCTCGGAGCCAGGGCACCTTGGCAACGTTTTTGGATGTCCCTTTTTGCCCCCGCCACCCCCAGGCCATCAGTCGTTCCGTCTGAGGGTCGTGTCGGTCAACGGTAACGCCTGGGGGTCGGTGAAGGAGCGGCTGCCTAATATCGATGCCGAAGTTATTCTAGCCCAAGAACACAAGCTTTCGACGCAGGAGGCTTTGGATAGAGCTTCCTCTGTTTGTCTCGGCCTCGGTTTCAAATCGCTTTGGATCCCTGGCACGACTGGGCCCGAAGGCGGCCCTTCTGCGGGAGTCTCTATCCTGTGTAGCGCCAACCTTGGGCTTCATAGGGCGCCCTCGGGGCTCGAGCTGGCCCCCCACAGGGCCATCACGGCCCTAGTGCATGCGCCCCAAGGGGACGTGTTTCAAGTTTGTTCTGTGTATATGCGTGACTCGGAAGGGCTTTCGGAACCCAACCTCGAGATACTGTCGGCGATAGGGGCGGAAGGGTCCACCTGCGGGAAACCATTTCTTGTCGGGGGAGACTGGAACATGGAGCCATCCGAACTCGCCAAGTCCTTTTTCGTGAGCACCCTGGTTGGTCAAGTCATCGACCCCAGCAAGCCTACCTGTCACGCTGGAGCGGGCAAAGTCTACGACTACTTCGTTGTGTCTTCTGGGCTTTCCAAGGGAGCCGCTGAAGTCCGTATTATCGAGGACGCTGGTTTCTTTCCGCACAGCCCAGTCTGTCTCGAGTTCCACGCTGGACTAGCTCAGATGCACTACCTCACGTTCAGGCGCCCGCCACCTCTCCCATCGGAAGTACCCTTCGGACCACAGCCCGAGCCGATGGACTATAAGCGCGTGCACGCCCAGCTGGATGCAGCGTTCATACGAGCCAAGAGAGGGGACGATGGGGTTATGACTGCTCGCCTATTTCGTGAAGCTTACGCGTCTTGGGCGGGACTTGCTGAACAGGAACTTTCCAGGACTTTCGGGGTTCAACTTCCTGTCTTGGGGTCTAGGGGCATGGGGCCCAGGACCCATTGGCGGCCGATCCTTAGTAAAGATCATGGGTGTGTGCGGTACCCCCAGCTCCACGCCTGCCGCTGGCTCGCCTCGAAGTTCAAACGTCTGTTTATGTGTGTGCAGAGAGGGGGCTGGCCTCAGGCTCGGGATGTGGGGTGCGTTCTTTCGTCTCCCCCCCCAAGTTTGTGTAAGCCCGACAACTTGTTCCCTGGGATCGAAGCTATTTACGATCGTGTTTCCTCGGTGATTTTGGACCTCAAGGTTTTGGAGGACCCTCATGAAGGGTCGGGCTCTGATCCTAGCTTCTTGGAGGCTCTGGAGGTTTTGACAGCCCAAGTCGAAGAGGTCTCTACCCAGGTTACCGACTTTGTAACACAATGTAGCGCCTTCTACGCCACCAAGGCCAGACGCGACTGGGCGGACTGGCTCACCGAGAATGTCGATCAGGGTGGACGTAGGGCGCACGGCTACACTAAAGATCCTCAAGGATGGTCTCCATCCACTACGCTTAGTGCTGGGGGCTGCGTGGCGTCGGACCCGCAGGCGCTCCTGGCCGCCGAAGCTCATCGTTTTCGCCAGTTGTGGGAAGGGCTCCCTGCACCTCAGAAAAGGCCAGGGAAAGTTAATGCTCCCCTCCCCCCCATCTCGGTGGACATTATTCGCAAGGTTTCTCGCACTTTTGCCCATGGGTCCGCCACGGGCCTGGATGGGTTTCATTTGAGACACTTTTCGGTGATGCCCGACGGGGCTTTGTGGGCCCTCTCGCGTTTATTTACGTTGATGGAACTCACGGGCACCCTTCCCCCGCAGCTGGAGGCCGTTATCGTTGCTATGCTGCCGAAGCCCTCCACTGGTTTCCGCCCCATCGGGGTCTTCCCCAGCCTGCACAGATTGCGGGGGAAAACGCAGGAGAGATTACGCGGTCGAGCGGGAAGGGAAACACCAGAGAGAGTACTGGGCGGCGGGGAAATTCAAGTCCGCTTGCGATGTTGTCTGGAGGCAAAGTGCCCGTTCTGAGTCTTCGCGTGCCTGCGGGCAGGAGGCCTGTACTCTCCTCTGGGATTTTGTTAAATATTACGAGCGCATCCCTCTCGATCTCCTGGCTCTTCGATGCAGGCAGCACGGCCTCCCTGATGCACTCACCGATGTGTGCATGGCGGGATGCCGTTCTGCCCGCTTCCCGGTGCTTGCTGGAGTGGTTGCGCCTCCTACTTACGCGAGAGTAGGAATCATAGCTGGCTGCAGTTTTGCTACCACTATGATCAGGAGGTTTGCCTTGCGTGGATTCGACCAGCTGGAGGTTCCCAAGGGGATCACGTTCGACGCTTACATCGATGACCCCGGGATCAATGCGATAGGGAACACCAGACACATTATGATAGAACTCCCGAAAGCGGCGAAGTCCCTCGAGGAGATCATTGAAAAGGTTCTTTTTGCGAAAGTCTCCCCCGACAAGGTCGGGTCGGTCGCGTCCTCCAAGGAAATCGCCAGGCACGTCCAGAAACGACTTGGGGTGCTTGGAGGAGTCTTGACTGAGTCTTTCGTCAATTTGGGGATAGATGACACTGCGGGCTGCGCCAGGCGAGTCCGTGGGCGCAACAGCAGAGCGAAGACGCGCTTTGCGAGAGCCTCTAGGCGTGCTGGCAGGCTGGCTCGTCAAAGAGGAGTTCTAGGACCGAGGGCTACCAAGCTATGCACTGCGGGACCTCTTGCGGGTGTTAATTATGGGGCGGAGGTTCACGGGATCAGTGACGGAGAACTCGTTAAAGTCAGACGCGTGTGTGCCTCTACGATGAAGCCTGCCTGCGGCGGCCGAAGTTTAACCTTTCTTAGCAGGATTGAAGGAGATCCTGCTTGGTGGGGTGCTGTGGCGCCAGCCATCAGGTGGGCCAAGGAAGTATGGGCTCGTGCCACGAGGGTCTCGGAAGTTTGTTTTTCTTGGGCCGAGCTTCGAAACATGTGGCACGATGTTTTCGGGCTTTCGTGGACCTGGAGGACCGTGAGCGGGCCCATAGGGGCCATGAAATTGTCCTTGGCCCGCTTGGGATGGAGCATGCCCTCGCCCTTTGTTATGATTAGCGACTTGGGGGTTGAGCACTCTCTCACGCTCACGCCTCCTCCCTTCTTCAGGGGGTTTGGCGTTCTTTGGAGAGGGAAGCGGCCGCCAAGTACGGCCCCGAAGGGGCTGATTCGTTATGTTTCGACGTCGTCATCAAAGCCCTTCGATCAAAAAAGTTTACTGCTCGCCAGAAAGGAACCATACGTTGTTGTGCCTGTCAAGGAATCTGGCCCTACGCCCGCGCTCGAGCAGCAGGTTATGAAGTCGAGGATCGTTGCCCGCTATGCCTTCAGCCTGGAGACACGATCTTTCATAGACTTTACGCGTGTTCGGCGGTGGAGGAGGAGAGGAGTGCAGTGATTCCCCGCAGTGCGCTGGATCAGGTTTTGAGGCAGTTCGAAGCGGTCGCTGAGAGAGAACGGTTCCACCTCACCTCTGGCTTGTTTGGCCACCCCCAGAGTGTGTTCCCGCCCCCAAAGTCCGACAGTAGAACCGAGGAGGACGACGCTATTCAGTTTCAGTTTTTTCCTGAAGGTTTTGCTGCGGAAGGCATGGAGATGCCCCGCGACGGCCGCAGACAGATGTGGGGCCACGTTTTCTTAGACGATTCGTGTTCGCGACGGGTGGTCCGCAGCTCGAATCGAGCTGGTTGGGGTTTAGCGATGATGGGCCCTCAGTCGAATCTCTTAGCCTGGAGCTGGGGCCCCGTGTGGGACAGCTGCCCTCAGACTTCTCAGGCAGGAGAATTTACAGCATATGCCATGGCATGTGCGTTCCTGTCTGCACCAGCAACTTTATACTCTGATTGCCAGAATGTAGTTTCCATGCACGGCATGGCCCACCATCAGCAGATCTCACCCAAGCGTCCTTATTCGGGGCTTGTGACTCAGGGTCTTTCTCTTGGGAAAAAGTGGACGGTTGGGTGTGAGAAAGTGTCTGCACACCTTCCCATTGACGATCCCGAGATCGACGATCATGAGCGGTTTCGGAGGATAGGGAATGATTTTGCCGACAAGGCCGCCAGGATGGGAGCTGATGCACACCAGGCGCCGTCGGAGGATGTAGCTAACGAATGCACTGCTCTTGTGAATTCGGCTCTTCTGGCGGTCAGACTGTGCGCTACTCTGTTGCCACTGTGGCCGCGCACGGACCTTTCGCGTGCCTCGTGGTCGTCCCCAGTTCAGGCCCCCCGCTCCTCTACCTCGCCTCATCGGTGGGAGTGGCTCGGGCCTCCTGGGGGGGACCAACGCTTTTGGATTTGTCAAGGGTGCCTCAGGACGTCGCGCAATGCCGCGGAAAAAGAGCCTGCCCCAGGACACTGTTCAGATTATTTGAGAGTTGATGTTAGGCGGCTTAGAGATTTAAACCACAAGCGTATCCTCTTGGATTGTTCGAACGGTTCGTTTGTTGTCGTTTGTACTGTGTGCCAGAGATACACTAGTGGAGCCCGCCTTGCATCGCTCAGCAAGACGTGTCCAGGTCAGAAAGTTTCAGCTTACAACTCTGACGCTTGGAATAAGATTTGTAAGGGACTCCATCCCAAAGCGAAAAGGGTCACCTTACTCTCTGACACGTACACTGTGCTTTAAGCATGCAGCGAGAGCTCGAGTGCTCAAAAAAATCTTCCTCCTCCTCCTCCTCCTCCTCCATCCCTCCTCCTCCTCCTCCTCCTCCTCCCTCCTCTCCTCCTCCTCCTCCTCCTCCTCTTCCGCCTCCTCCGCCGCCTCCTCCTCCGCCTCCTCCGCCTCCTCCGCTCCTCCTCCTCCTCCTCCTCCTCCTCCTCCTCCTCCTCCTGTCCTCCTCCTCCTCCTCCTCCTCCTCCTCCTCCTCCTCCTCCTCCTCCTCCTCCTTCGCCTCCCTCCTCGAAGCATCGTGCCCAGAGCATCGAAGCATCGTGCCCGGAGCGGGGCACCGCACTCGGTCAGCGCTGGGCGCGAGCGAACGCCGATCGGAGGGCAGCGGGCGCGGCGCGTGGCCCGGATGCGGCGCGCGCCCTGGCGGGGGGGGAGGCCTCCGCGCGGTGGAACGGCAGCATGGGCAGCATGCGCGAGGCGGCCTACAGGGAAGAGGGAGAGAGAGGAGGAGGAGGAGGAAATGGCGGTGGAGGTGGAGGAGGAGGAGGAGGAGGAAAGGAGAGGGAGGAAGAGGAGAAGGCAGAGGAGCAGGAAGCGGAGGGCGAGGGAGGGTGGCGGAGGAGGAGGAGGAGAAGGAACGAGGAGAGACTAAAAGTAAAGGCTGCAGAATAAAGGCGCAATTCTACATACGCGGCTGTGCAAAACGGGAATGGTGTGTCAAACGCGGATAAAACGAACATTGAAAGTGATCACATGCCGTACCCCCGGACAACATGGCAGCAGAAAAGGGAGACGATTAAGAAAGCAGCAAAAGGGGCAGTATACAAAACGTACCGTTCGAGTATGGTGCCCAAGCGGGTCTGCTGGTTCCTCGCCAGCTCACGTGTGCAAACCGCACCAAAACCAGCTAAACAAAAAATCTTCGTTAAATAAAATCGGGGATGGACAGAGACCCCTTTAGCAAAACGTGGTTTAATGAGAACGACCTCGGGCCCAAACCTGGCGGGCGCAACCCTGCAAATTGACGGCCGCGGCGCCCTCTCGAGAACCGAAAACGGACAATTCACGAATCGGCGTGTCAGGGTGGGGGTTCTGTCCACCCCCGATTAAAAGAATAGTATACTAAAGAGGTCAATTAATACAGAGTTGCTCTGCAGCAGATTACTGGATGGAGCACACGATCAGTCACTTCCATGCTCTACTGGCCGGAACCTGCTGCACCCCGAACATAGCTCGCGGATCCATACCGTTCACTTAGCATACTTGCCGTGTCGCGTTCGCGAACTCAGCTCCCAAAGTGCAAGCCTCTGCATATATATCTCCCTAGCAAAATGCTCACGGACCTCGCATCAGCGAACATAGTCCGTGACAGCGAGCATCGGCCAGCTTAGTCACGCGAGTCGCAGCTTTCCGCGTTGAGGTCGCTATGACGGGGCACGGCATCGTTTTCTTGCGCGGTTCGTCTCGCAATTTAACCGCGGGGTGGTCGTAGTTGAGTTCCCCTGCCCATTGTCGAAAATAAACTCGCGGCCGATGCTGGAATTCGTCGTGGGGTCGGCCTTCACGTCACGAGTGTCGCACGAATGCATGTCGGATCTTTGCTTGGTGAGGAGCTGGTCTGGTAACCACCATACTTGGCCTGCCATGCTGCTCTCCAAAAGCGGACGAACTGGGTCCATGGCCAAGGCGGAGAAGGCGGGCATGCCGTCCACGGCCAGCCCGGGCGCATGGCGCAATCCCCATTCCACCTTCAGCCTCCTGATACCCTCCACTGAGGCGAGTCCGCGCACCTTCTCGTGGAGCGTCAGGCGGCGCGCCTGCAGGCCATCAGCTGCACGGCACGCTGCGAGCAGCTCTGAGCCACATAATGATCGACACACATGTTTGCGCGATCGGCTCACGGCTTCGAGCAACTTGTGCTGCAGCATTTGCCCAGACGGATGCAAACGGCGCCACGCACGCCGTAACCGGTCTCCTCCTCGCGCTTGAACGAGCCGTCGCTGCGCGCGCAGTCGGCCCGCGCGCTCCATCGCCGGGAAGGCAACGCGCGCCTTGATCTTCTGCGTGACCAGAACGACGGGGCTAAGCTGCATCGCGCGCCTGATGAGCAGCTCGTTCTCGGCCCGCCGCAGCGCGACGACGCGGGCGGCAACGCGGCTGCTGCTCCGAAGAGGATGGCGAAGAGGTCTGAAGGTGGACCTCCGGCCGGCTCGTCGGCCACCAGGTCGACGCGCCCGATGGGGATCAGGGCGTCGACGTGCTCGCCCTGGCCAAGCACCGCCGAACGACCGGCACCGATGGACTCGGCAGCTGGCGAATTTGCACCAATCACCCTTCATGTTGGCGAAGACGCCATCGTCGTGGCCGATGAGTCGGTCAACGCGCCCCTAGCGCCCTGCGATCTCGAGGTCGTCAACGCGCTTGGACAGCACGGGCCCCGGCGCCGAGCCGACGGCACCGCAAGTGCAGGGCGCCCCATGTTTGACCTCGAGCTCAAGGACCCACCGCGTCGGCTAGGCGCCGCGCTCGGGCGCGCGACCCTTGAGAGATTCATGGAGTGGGCTCTCGGCGCGCCCTTGCAGCCCGCGCCCAACTCGACGCGGCCCAGGCACTCGGGCCGATCGTCTGGAACCTTCCTGAGGCAAGCAGCACTGCCGGCGGCAGGGTGAAGTTCGCCTCCTGCGGTGCTTCGCCCTGCTCTAGCATCTCGGCGTAGATCGTGCAACGCAAGAGCGCCTTCTCAACATCCGCAGCGACGCACGCCCAGTCCTGGCAACAAGCCGCCTCTGAGGACGGAATGCGCCGCGACGTCCGCTTCGCCGCGCTGGCGAACGTCTCCAGGGCCCCAGCGCCCGAGTCGCGGGGAGATCCCATCGCGGCACCTGATCCCAGCGGCCCTGCTGTCCGACCACTTCCCGTGCTTCAATCTGGACAGGCGCCTGGAGCCCGCGACGTTCCGAGCGCTTTCGCCCGAAACAATTGTACTTGTTCCAAATGGTTAGCTCCTCGAAGATGGCTGTTGCTCTTTGGACATCCTCAACACCTTCTCTTTAGACAGGAGGCCCGCGTCGCGCACGTTGACCGCGGCCTCGGCGGCGGCATGCGACTCACGCACGGCAATCGCGGAGGAGCCAGCAACAGTTGCCGGGCGGCCCCTCGTCACACCCCAAGAATGCTTCTCGCATCCCGGGGCCTAAGTGCAACTCCACGCGCCCTCCCCCTTCATCCCCATCTTCAATGTTGGCGCCAGTCGCCCATGGAAGCGCCGAGCAGGTGGTGGTGGCGCTGCGCCGCCAGGCGCAGGAACCCCTCGCGTGGCCGGCGCCGAATGCTGGCGGCCGCGTGCTCGACACCAGCGTAGACTTTCAACTGGCTGTCGGCGCCCCCCACTCCTGCAGCTCCTGGGCCAGGTCCTCCGCCCCGTCGACTTCCTGCCAGGCTGCCAACATCTGACCGGAGAAGTCGCTGCCAGCCTTTTCGAGCATCACCGACAGGGCTGATGATGAACCGCCTGCGGTGACGCTGGCGGCGTCCTCGGGGGCGCTGATAACAATCATCGAACGCCCCCTCTCTGCCCTGCCCAGCGTCTCTGCTGCAAGCAACGGTTCGTCACCAAAGACGAACCGCTGCTCGCCGATGAGACTGCTGCGGGCGCAGCCTGGCCAGTCGCCCACTGACCTCTGGCCATGCACGAGACGCACGGCACGAAAGCCTGGCAGCTGCAAGCATATGCGGGACAAGTGGCGCAGAGCCTCGAGGACATCGGGGCGTTGTCGAGCCCGCTTGATCAGCTGCCTGCTTTTCGCCCTCCAAGTGGCCGAAGGTCCTGGACCCTGAGCTGGGCGCGACGTGCCTCATGAAGTCCTCCACGCGGTCCCAGGCCAGGCCTGCCCGCGCCAGACTGGTGCCCATGTCGTCGAAGACGGCGCCGATGAATGCTCGTGCGCCCTGCAGCCCGCAAGCCATCTCGGCGTCGCGGCACTCGACCGCGACCTCGCCCCCGGCGGGGCCCAGGGAGAGACTCGAGGAGAGGATCGCGCCGGGCCCTGCCCAGCCCGACGCGTCTTTCGTGCTCGGGGGCCAGGCCGCCCACAGCGCCCCTCTCTGGTCTCGGCGGCACGTGTCCAGAGGGCGCGGCTGACGCGGGCGATCGAAATAGCCTCGATCATGCGCCGCAGGGCTATGTGACAGATGCGTCGCTAGTCCGCAGGGCTGCACTTCGCCGCCAGCTGCGGGGCCCGCGCCCGAAACGGTCGCTGGATACCCCCCCCACCCCTCGTCTGCTTCGAGCGGCGGCGGCACGGGGGCAAGCCTGCCGAAGACGACGTTGCAAGGCGCAACGCCGCCTGCGCGCGCGAGGCCGTTGCCCGCGAAGATGGCGCGGGCCAGCGCGGAGCCGAAGTCGGCAGCCTGCGAGGTCCAGCTGCTCCTCGGCGGCGCGTAGCGCACGTCGCACCACTGCGCCACGTCGCTCCATGAACCGAGCGTGCTGGGGCGGAGCTCGGATGTTCACCTGTACTCCTCGCCTCCTTATCTCCTCCACATAGTACGTCGAGGTCACTCCGCCTTCGCCGTGCAAGATAAAGGTCTCCATCGAGCCGACCAGCTGGGTCAAAAAGAAGTCGATGACAGCCAGCAGCGTCGAGTCGCGTCTGCCCGCGACATCCCGGCCGTTGCGCCACCTCGAGGCGCAGCAGATCAGTTGCAGTATCACGCGACCCCTGTAGTAGAGGATGTCGCAGTCGACTTGCTGCTCAATTAAAATAGAAAGGTGAAGTGTGGGAATAGCCTGGCGCGCCGGTGGTAGACACTTACGACACTCCCGTAGTTGTTAACCACTGTGGGGACGAGGTCGAGGACTGCCAGTGGAATGTTGGCTGCACGTAGAGCTCGTGCGATTTCCCCCTAAATGGAGCGCTGACACCAAGAATGCAATTTGCGCTCACAGCGACTCGCAGTGACGCGCAATTTGCGCAATTTGCGCCCGCGCCTCGTGCCGGCCGCCACGCAGCGCTCGCATTGACGCGGCGATTTCGAAGCGAGTCCAGTCTGAAGGCGTCGGGCTGCCTACAGATGCGCCGGCAACTCGCCGCGCTGTCCGTCTCGGCACTACGCTGGTCACTGACTTGGATCGACGTTGCGGCCCGGCAAAACAGTTTCCGGAAGCACTGCCCTGAGTCCCAGCGCTGGATGATGAGCTGGCTCCCGGCGTGCTGGCGGGTGCCGGTGGTAGGGCGGCCTCGTCTGCTGTTCTGAAGTCGGCTCCTCCTGGTAATTGAGCCCGCTGATCGCCGCCTGGGAGCGGTCCTCCAGGTCGCGCCGGCGCTTGCGGGCCTTGGCTCGCACGAGGGCCTGGCCGCGCGTGAGGGCCCGCGAAACTGCGCTAACTGAACTCGCCAGCGCGCGCTGTGATGGTCGCGTTTCTTTTCCTCGCGGCAATTCTTTTCCTCGCGGCAATCCGGGCATTTCC